TCGAACCGTATTCGTCTGGTGTTGATTTTTGGCAAATATTGATCCATCGTATCTAAAAAAAAAGAAAAAGGTTGCGTCTAAGTGCACTGCTTAGACAGTAACAGGTCTCACCTAAGGCAAAAAGACGCACCTCGTCGTTTCTCCCGTCCACGGGTTAGCGTCGACCTCAAGTAACCTGGTGCAGTAGGGCGCCAAGTGGAGTCTTATTGCACCAAACCCAAGGCAATGCCGGACACCAGCAGCCTCAAGTCCGGCAATGGTACCCTCTTTGTGGTCATTGTGGCTGGGGCTTCTTCTGTGGTTCTCCTGATTGCTGTCATGTCTGCCGTCATGCTCTGCAGGTACGAGAAAATGTTTTTATGCTTGTGACATTTATAATTCATAGGATTTGGTTGCTGGAGGCACGAACATCTTTATTTGGGAGGAGGAGGGGTACGAAGGTTTTGAACCCAATGCTGTCTTAATAGGAGACATTTTATAAGAACTCATCTAAAATTATTTTCACAAGAGCGTTTATACATTTTTCAGGCATAGCTTTTGAATTACTGTATTTTGTCCCAGTTGAAGTTGGCCACAAAAAGAGCGGCGGGAAACCATAAACGGAATGCCAAAAATTCCGCGAGTATGATTATGTAACTCTTGAAGTCTCACCTGATGGTGACTGCCAGTTTGGGTAATTTTTTATTTCAAAGTTCCAAATGCTCAAGATTTAAAAAAATATCTCTGGTGCATTTTCAAAAACGAAAACTACAACTTATTCAATGTGGAGCGAAATTTCTTGAATATTTTCGAAAGATCAATTTTACCCATTATTTTCTGTGGGACTTTTCAATTGATTAGATTACCTTGTGTCGAGGATGGCAGAGAGAAGTTTTCCAAGCCTTAATATTTTTGACATGACCATCTTAACAAATATTTTTTAAAGAGCCTTTTGTTGAGATTAATTTTGTGAAAGATCCCATAAAGAAATATTTCATTTCTTGATAATGAAATTTTTCGTGCGAAAAAAAGTGTCTCCGTAAATGCATACCTTCACATATGAACACTGGATTTTTG